CAACTGAGGATCATAGTGCCAACCTCATAACTCTGCTGTGAAGATGAAATGATTAATATATGCATTAGATCAGTGCCTGGCATGTGCTTAGAGATGACTAAGCTATTATTATTGTTGCTATCACTAATAATATTTTCATTGCAAATAGCCCTCACTAAAATCTAAGGAGGTGGTTATTACTACCTCCATTTTCATAAAGGAGGAAAAGGAGGCTCAGAGAGGTTGAGAAAATTGCTATAAGTCACACAAGTTTGGTGCTGGTATAAGACTCTAGATTCAAAGTCCAGTCTTCTTTCCACTCCCTGCCCCCTAGCCCCGCCACTGCCAACTCATCTTTTGCAATGAGACTACAAATAGATCTGTCTGATTCAGCAAAGACGGCTTCCTTACATTTCTAACTTCAAAGAGGCAAAATAATTGTATGTAAAATTCTTTTGATCAAAAAATAGTACCTCCAGAGAAGGCGACTTGAAAAGGAACATCATTAATTGTCAGGCATTTAGCTGAGATAAGTCAAAGTCCTTTAATGTCCTACATGTCTTGCTGTGTCAAGCAGCTTAGGAAGACTGGCAGGATGGAAAGAAAGAGCACAAGATCAGGTGTCAGAAACTTAAGGATAAGTCGCGGTCTCTCTGCTCACTGCTGCGAGATCTTAGACAAGTCACCCAAATTCTCTGCTTCAAGTGATGGTTGTGAGGATTAAATAAGATAATACTTGTTCCCTCAGTGTGAACTCTGGAGCTCGGGGGAAACACAAGCTATTAATTTTATCATCACAATCCAGGTGCCAGTAAAATCTGTTTCTTATGCACATAAGCTTAAAGACAAAACTATCCAAACTTTTCTGAAATGATCCTTTAATACGTCAGTGACCTTGACTGAAATTCCCCAGTGTTTTACACCATTTCCGTTCCTAGGAACCATGAGCTAAAAAAGCAGGCAAGACAGGCTCCATCATAAACTACAGCACCTTTTCCTTCCTTCTTCCTTTGGGACTCCGAGGAACATTCAAATACCACATCCTCTCATCTCATAAGCCTCTTCAAAGAGACCAGCTCAGTTCAGCTGCTTAGCGTGTATGATTCTTTGCGACCCCATGGACTGCAGCATGCCAGGCTTCCTTGGTGTGGAAGTTGGAGTTCCCTGGTGTGGAGTTCCCATCACCAACTCCCAGAGCTTGCTCAAACTCATGTCCATCTCAAGTTGGTGATGCCATCCAACCATCTCATCCTCTGTCATTCTCTTCTCCTCCTGCCTATAACCTTTCCCAGCATCAGGGTCTTTTCCAATGAGTCAGTTCTTCACATCAGGTAGCCAAAGTATTGGAGTTTCAGTTTCAGCATCAATCCTTCCAATGAATATACAGGACTGATTTCCTTTAGGATGGACTGGCTTGATCTTCTTGCAGTCCAAGGGACTCTCAAGAGTCTTCTGCAACACCACAGTTCAAAAGCATCAATTCTTCAGCACTCAGCTTTCTTTATGGTCCAACTCTCACATCCATACATGACTACTGGAAAACCCATAGCTTTGACGATACGGACCTTTGTCAGTAAAGTAATGTTTCTGCTTTAAGGAATATAATTATTGCAGGAGGAAAAGACCCTCCATCTCATTTAATTATGAGGAGTGTAAACACTTTTCTCCCTGAACATTGCAAAACCTGGGGGAAAGAGGCGGAGGGCTCTCATGCATATCCAACCTTTCTTACCTAAATACCAAAAGATGCACTTCCCCACCCAGAAGAACTGAAGAAAAAAGGAATGATAAGTGAGTAAGGGGCATGTCTACACCCACCAGCCTGCATCTACTCTCAGCAGCCACTCCCCACCCCCACATCACATGTTAATTCATTGGCATAATTCATCACTTTTCCTGACTAAGATTCCACTAAGCTTGTCCAACCCTTCGCAACAATTCGATACTGCTCTCCAAATATCTAATTGTTTTAATTCTTAATTTCCCAACTATGTATAAATAAAGGAATTCTAGTCCCCAAAGAGCTAAAGGGTGAGGTCACCTGCTGCCTTTCTGTCCTTACTTCGACAAAGCCTAAAGTCAGATTATCAACCCTGAGATAGGAGTTTACGGGGTCAAATCTTAAAAAAAAAATAAACAAAACAGACAAACAGAAAAACCTCTCCAGAAAAGAGATGTCCAAACAGCAATAGTTTGAGAAGCCCCCTGTTCCAAATGTGTGTGTTTGTATGTATGTGCGCTCAGTCGTGTCTGACTCTCTGCAACATTATAGACTATAGTTTACCAGGTTCCTGTGTCCATGGGATTCTCCAGGCAAGAATACTGGATTGGGTTGCCATTTCCTCCTCCAGGGGATCTTCCTGAGCCAGGGATAGAACCTGCGTCTTCTGCATCTCCTGCACTGGCAGGCATATTCTTTACCACTGAACCACCTAGAATGCACCCCCCTTCTCCATACCCACATACAATGAAAAAAAAAAAAAATCTGATTTGCAACCTGGTCACTCCATGGTGAGACCCACCAATGGACAAGTTGTTCTCATACACACAGATTCCAATCAGCTTACTGAGTCCTAACACTCAAACATGAATACACTGCCCAGAATTAGCAAGGATGGACAAAAACAGACAGAGAAAATGTGATTCAGAGAAAAAAGAGAAAATGCAGAGAGCAGAATAATCTTCAAAAGGAAACAAAACATTGACTGATATACTCAAGGAGAAAAAAGAAATAAATGCATCCATAATACGAGAAGAAATACTCAAACAAAATAGTGAACAGTGATCAAGAAAGAGTTCTTGAATATTAAAAATAAGATAGCTGAAATTTTAAAATATCAATAAAAAGTGTAGAAGATAAAGTCAGGGAAATCTTTCAGAAAGTAGAACAAAAGATCAAAGAGATGAAAAACAAAAGGAAAAAGATAAGAAGTTAGAGGCTCCATCTAGAAGAGGTAACATCTAAATAATAAGAGAGCCAAAAATATAGAATATTGAGGGGAAAAATTTATAAAAATAATAAATATTAAAAAATTAGTTTTGAAGAGCTGAAAGGCATAAATCTTCAGACTAAAAGAGTTTACAAAGTACCCAGCATATGAACAGAAAAGGACCCACACTAGAGCATATCATTGTAAAATTCCAAAATATGGAGATAATCCAGGTTAACTGAAGGGAAAAGAATAGGTCACCTAGATTCTGAGAATGGAAAAGGCTTCTGAATTCTTAATAACTGAAGTAATACAATAGAATAATGCCCTTAAAATTGAGTTTTAGAAATGAATTTTATCTAGAATTCTATACCATCCAAACTATCAATCAAGATATATTTTCATATATGCAGGGATTCAAAAAATTTACCTTTTATACATCCTTTCCCAAAAAGCTATTGTAGGATGATGTACTCAAATTTAAATGAGGAAGACAGATTTAAGAAACAAAGCATCTGACAGAGGACAACAGTGAACAGAAGTCTCAACACAATAACTACTCAGCAAACCCAGAGAATAACTTCTCCATATTGTTGCAAAGGGGTTCCAGGAGGAAAGCCTGGTGTGGAGTGATAGCAATGCTGTGTTTGAGCATATAAAAAATATACTACATAGACAAAGATTCTGGAGAGTTCAACAACAACAACAAAAAAAAATAGGCACTAGACAAAAATAAACGACAAGGTACTTATCAACTCCAGGAAAAACAAATGGCTATGCAAGAAAGAAACATTGGTAATATTTCACTGTTTGACTTATGAGTGAAAAACATTTACTTAAATCATGGTACTGTTAATCTTGACTACTGAGTTAAAACAATACTGTTAAATAATTTTATTGAGGGGATGGAAGGAAATGAATTGTGTGGCGAGTAAGAGATCTATCATATTCCTCTTAAGTCAAGGAGAGAAAAAAAGTGGTAAATGCATACTTAGCTATATAAGAGTAAACAGCAGGGAAACAGCCAAAATTGTTGTTATACAAAGATACACAAATATAAAATATATACTTCTAGGGAGGGGAACTAAGGAATGTGAAAGACATGGCTACTTTTTCACCATAAGCCTGTTTTTGGTTTTCAAAATTATGAATATATGTATCACATTGATTAAAATATATATATGTGTATATATATATATATATATGTTTTGATACCTAAAATTTTAAAATCTCTATGAATACAGTATGTAGCACATATAAAGGAAAACGGAGGATTGTAAGAATAAAGCTCAAATAAGTAATTGACCTCAAGCCAAATGATCCTAAAATCTCCCATTCATTTAAATTTTACATACTCTTTAAAACATGCTTTCCTCTCACTTTGTAGTTATACCACTTCAAAAACAGAAGTCCTCTCATTATTGCTTAGATATTGTAAATTAACTTCAAAACACCTGATAGATCCTCTAATTTCTCTTACTTATCATAGGAGCAAAGTGAAAATACTTCTTTTACAAATATTTTCCTAAATGATCAAATCCTTAATTTGTACACTGGCCATTAGAGTATTCATTAAATGCTTTGGTCTGATCAAACTAACATCAGTGTTTTACATTAATGCTTATGTTCTTGACAAATATCCACACGAAGCATAAAATTTATCCTTCCAATAAAGGCAACCATTCAATTATAAATGACAGAATCAGCTTTAAGCTTTTTAAAAATTCATACCTCTACACTAATAGAATGTATTCTCTAGTTATAAATCTAAAATTTTTACTAAAATGATTCCAAACCTTCTTATAATTTCCTTTGAAGTTTGGCTTTTATATGATATAAAAGTATGCAACACACCCAATTCTATTAGTTTTAAGTCTTCTAGAACCAGACATTTTTAGGTTTACAAATAAGGAAGTCAGTGTTATACAAACACATGCACTTCACTTATGAATATAATGGCTACTTAGTGTACACATAATCAAAACCACTTATTGTGATTCCGCTTTTAAAATAGAGAAATTGATTTAATAAAGAAAAAAAAAAGAAAAAAACCAGCTCAAACTTGACATTTAGGGAAAGTGATTTGCTTACCTCTGTTGGTTTGTAGCAGTCTACAAGAGCTTCCTAGAAGAAAATACACAGAAGTTTTATTTTAAAATTCAACATCATTTAAGTGAAATCATCTCATTTTTATAACATTATTCTTAATAGGGTAAATCAATATTTCATACTGACTACCAAGAATCACACTGTATTTCAGTATCTGTTAGCCCTCTGAAGACACAAAGTTGTACCTTTCATTTGCACTCTTCAGAATACACACATATACATCTGTCCTTCAGGCTGCCTATGTGGTTCATAATAATCTGGATACACTTAAGTTGAGACAGCCTGTGAGAGATGGTGACAGTCACACTGGACGTGGGGAATGAGAGCCTGGCTGTGATTCAGCCACGAGGTAGCTTGTCTCACCTCTGCAGGCTTTGGTTGTCCTCCCCTGAGAACAAGCCAGGGTGACCTGATGGCAGTTAAAGGCTCTTTCAAGTAATTATTTTTTAGAAAAAAAATTTTATGTCATTACATTTTCTATAGAACTGGTACCTGGGGGTTTTTGTTTGTTTTTGTTTTGCTTTTTGTAACTTTCATAACCGGGATGCTATCATCTCCCAACTAAATTTAACAACAAGAAATAATCATTAAACTGAGACTGCTCACCACTCAAGGGGCACCAGTAATTATTAACACACTAAACACATTAACACATTCAAACGTGTCCTTTGCTTGCCCCTAGTGATCATTTGTCATCAGTGATAACTAACAGTCTTAATAGTAATTATCAATGAACAGTGAGAACCATGGCAGGTCAAAGGTTAATTGGTTTTAGAAACTCCCAAATGCAGATTTTAAAATGATAGATTTGACTTCCTGTGGAAAGGAAAGTAAGTATTTTATTTTTGCTCTGGACAAAGGAAGTGGGGGGTATCTCAATATCCATTATATTAGGTGAACATGCTCCAATAAAAGATATATTATTAGAATCATGTTGCAAGCAATCTTATCTAGGAATGAATTTCATGAATGCTATAATCCACAACTGCAAGACCAGAATCCTGGGCTTAGGTATTCCAGTTCTAGCTCAGTCCCTCTCCTTCTCATACAACTGTGGGACATGCCTTTCTTCTCTGGCAAATGGATCTCTGGAGGCAGAACCATCTTTCTCCCAAGAAGTTGGAGCTGGAAAAACTCACATCCATAAGGTGATTTAAGATCTGACTATAGTCAGGTCCTTTGGGCTATTTTATCTCCAGATATGCAGTTTATGTGGGTGAATACTCAGCATCCTACTGACTCCCTCTGCAACCTGCCACTGCCCAAGTGCTGGTGCCAACACCACCCCAGGGCAGGATCAGTGAGAGCCATGCTCTGGAGACCCAAGTGGATTCAAGCATTCATCAAAGGATCTGGATTTTGAATACTACTTACCCGTAATTTTAAAGCCCTCTCTTCTTCACTGTCTGCATCAAGAAGATCATCAATGTCAATTTCCACATCTGGCATTTCTTCTTCCTGGGGAACAAATATGGAAACATTCTATTTAGTGAGATACTGCACCTTATCCAACCAATGTCGTTGAGTCATATAGATGTGCTGACAAGTAATGGGGGTGGGGGCACAGGGAAGAGACTAGGAAGAAGAGGAGGGAAAGAAGAGGAAGGGGAAGTAGGAAAGAGAAGAAAAAGGAAGAAGAGGTGGGAAGGGGAAGGAGGGAGAAGGAACAGGAGGAGGAGTGGGAACAAAGGAGACATTAGGGTCACAAGGCATAGACACTAATGTACCGCAACAACGATGATTTTCTGCTTTCTGGGAGGAAATTGCCTTTCTGAGTGTTTAATGGGGGGGGATCAATTATAGGAAGAGTAGTGTGACTTTCAGTTTCCTACTGAACATCGACACTTCTTTGTCGACTACTTGGTCTTTTTTTTTGGAGAGTGGGCGGGTCGGGGGACATGGATCTGCATCTCCCTTCCCAGTTCTGGGTCTGGAAAAACCTGAGTCCAGGGGTTTCTGAGCCAGGGCTCTTGGGCCAATGTCACCCCAGCCCCAGTTACAAACTCAACTCAGATCAGGGGGAAAAGAAGTTCTTTCAACAGCAGCATCCCGGGTGGAGAGTGGGCTGAGGGAGTCTGTTACCTAGAAACTGATGCAACCATTGTGCAACCGTGAAGGGAGAGTCTGACTCATGGTGGGCAGGCTGGGGAGAAGTAAGGAAAGAGGATTCTAAAAAATGTCGCCGAGTCGGACCACCGCTGAAGCCCACCAACATCCCAGTAGAGCCCTATTATTGGGAGTCAAGTTTAATATTCCTGCAGCCAAAGACATCCCGTCCACAACAGAGGGTGAGGAAGTCCAGCAGCAATGCGGTGAGAGGCCTCCTGAAGAGTGCTTTAATTTTGCACTTCCCCTTCCCACGAGGAGCCACCTGCCTGCCAACTCGTCCCAGCCCCAGGGATGGCGAGGAGTATTTACCGAAGTCAGAGAGAAACCTGTGTGGGACACCTGTGCGTCCACCTGGGCTTTGCTGCTCTGTGCCAGCCGCCTTGTCTGGTCCTCAGAGGCAAGGCTGACTTTCTGAGAATTTCCTTTCTAGCAAAGCGCATCTACTAGGTAATGGTGCCCAACCGTTCCTTTTCCTGCTCCTACACAAAAGTGAGGACCCAAGTGTTTTGAGGAAACTGAGGCAGATGATATACTACTGTGAAATAATAAGAAAATGTTTATTGCTGTCTGTATCCCATTTCCTGACACAGAGCTCTTCAAACCCTTATAAATAGTGAAAGTGAAAGTGAAGTCACGTCTGACTCTTTGCGACCCCATGGACTGTAGCCCACCAGGCTCCTCCATCCATGGGATTCTCCAGGCAAGAGTACTGGAGTGGGTTGCCAGGCAGTGGACTGCCCTGGATCTTCCCAACCCAGGGATCGAACCCAGGACTCCCACATTGTAGGCATATGCTTTACCATCTGAGCCACCACGGAAATCCTTGTAAATCCTTATAAACAGGGGCGCTGACTATTGTGAGGTTCTTTTTACTATTATAAGATATGAAGTCGGTATTGGAAAGTTCAGATAAAGCAGAAGGAAAGCTGAACCCAAAGTAGAGGGAGGTTAGTCTTATTAAAGTTAAAATCTCTTTTACATTTTTTAATAGTACTAACAAAAAATGGGAAGGAAAAAGCAAGTCTCCTTAGAGAAGTCAAATGACCTCAGAACTGCAGAAGAATGATTCTTGCTGGAGAGTAGCGATAGGAATAAAATTAAAACATAATCACCTGGCCTTTCAGGGCATCAGAAAAACAGTACAGGGTTGGAGGTGTGCATCTGCCTATAGGGATATTTGACGGTACCTTACAGGCCCTAAGACTCAGGCTACATGAGGCGATGAACACAGCATCACTGTGCTCCACTTAGAGCTGGCTAGGCTGCTGTGCCTTTTCCCTCCTTCCCTGGAAGCCATCCAGCCCACATTTTTATCGAGCCAGTCTGTCTCTCAGACTGGTACAGAGCCACTCTTTCAAATGAGATACCATTTTTAAGCTCTCCCCAGGGCTTTGGAACTGTGGTGCTGGAGAAGACTCTGGAGAGTCCCTTGGACTGCACAGAGATCAAACCAGTCCATCCTAAAGGAGATCAGTCCTGAATATTCATTGGCAGGACTGATGCTGAAGCTGAAAGTCCACTACTTTGGCCACCTGATGTGAAGAGAACAGACTGCTTGGAAAAGACCCCGATGCCGGGAAAGACTGAAGGCAAGAGGAGAAGGGGGTGACAGAGGATGAGATAGTTGGATGGCATCACTGACGCAATGGACATGAGTTTGAGCAAACTCCGGAAGATGGGGAAGGACAGGGAAGCCAGGCGTGCTGCAGTTCTTGGGGTTGCAAAGATTCGGACACGACTGAGCAACTGAACAAAGGGCAGAGCAGAGAGATGGGGATGGACGTGGCCTCCACCAGGGGGAGGATACTGGAGGACCCCAAGGCTGCACTCCACTCAGTCAGGATGCTGAGGAGGACCACACTGACGCTCCCCTGTGTGGGTGCCAGCCTCCCTGTTCATCATCTACCTTTCACACTGGTATTTTCTTGCTCCAGGGCTGCCTGCGCTGACTTCCTATATTGTGTATATTTGACATTGTGGCTGAAAGGAAGGCTGTGGGTGGAGAGGGGAGCCATTTGGGGGGCCACAGAGAGCGGTGTGGCTCTCAAGGGGCTGCCAGACTTTCCAGAGTGAAAGGACCGGTGGGAAATGAAACACCAACAAAGAAACTCACTAGATGACGGAACAACTGGCAGCCCATGAACACGGATTGCAGCTGGGAAGCCGCAGCGTGAAATAAATGACGCCTGAACACATGGACCCTCCCTGGGGCCAGTGAATACTGAAGTCATAGCACACACGGTGAGGATATTCTAGCAAATGTGGTACAAGATTAATTCACCTATGCCCACAGCTCAGCACGACTTTAATAACCACCATGTAAGGGCAAAACACCCAGAGCCCATTTCAGCTGATGCTATTCGAGAAAAACCAAGTAAGTGTGATAACCCCACAAGTTTCCATCTGTGTAACAGTCTATATAGCCTCGCCCTAAGTTCCCTGACTCCTCTCTCAAAACAGTCATTTGGGTTCAGTGGTTAGATATGCTTTGGGTGCAAAGTATGCATTTATGTCACAGTTTAATGAAATCAAGTAGAGGAAACAGGATATAGAGACTCATTCAAGTAATCACAGCTGAGGGAAGCTCCGTGTCTGCTCTTCTGAAAGGAAATAAAAGAAGTGAACAATGCCCTTGTCAGCACAGCATAGCACAGGTATCCCCGCAAACATCGTTCAGCTTTGAGGCCAAATTTGGTCAAACAAGCTTTTACTTGCTCAGCGGTAGAGTCTCGCCCACACGGCAGCGTCTGCAATTAGGTCTCCTGTCACCACGACTGTACTGGGCTCCCCAAAGGTTCTGACCTCATGTGACCCATTTCCCCCACCCTTGAGGTCTGGGCCATCCAACGTGGCCACCACATGTGGTATTTATGTTTAAATTCACTAAGATGAAATAGAATTCAAAATCTGGTTCCCTGGACATCTCAGCCACATTTCAGGGCTCAGCTGCCACACGTGGCAAGTGACATGGGGTCTTTCATTTCACTGGACACCACGGCCCTAGGGTCCACTCATCCTCTGGCCCAGACAAAGCAAAGCCGCAAAGAAAACAGCCAGCATCCCAAGGTCACCGCCATGCCCCAAGGGCAGGTAGCTGGGCAATCCTGGGCTTGGCTTTCTAAGTGGGAAGGTTGATGCAAACTAAGTATTCACTCGCTGAGTAATTATAATGAATCACTAGGCATCAGCATTTTCTACCATCCTGTGGGCTTCTCGGGACCCCCACCCGCTTCTCTCAGAGGCCAGGAGGAGGTCAGGCTGAGTGTGTGGACCAGAGCGGGGCGTGGAGCACACAGCAGGGTGGATTCTGAAGGTCGGTGATACTGAAACCAAAGCCCCGGGGAGGACAGAGAGATGGGGTCATGGAGGTACATGTGAAAAGAAAAGACAGATCTAGCATCAAGCATAGAATCCTGCATATATTTGGGTTTAATCATTTTAATGAGGAGTGTGGACATAGTCCAAATTCAACTGATGTTCTCTTGAGCTCTATCTTCTGTATAAAGCTGTATCACTGAATAACCTTGGGGACAGATCAAGTCACTTACAAGGAAATAGCTCCACCCATGACCTACTCTGGTTTGCCAGAATTTAGTTGTGTTCGGGGACTTCCCCACACTGAAAATAGATCTGCCAACAGGGGCTCAGGTGACAAGACATGAAACAACCTCTTCAGAGTGGCTGGGTAAGCCACCAGCTAACATCATCCCCCACTGAGACAGAGATCTTCCTGTTGGTACCCACAGAATGAGGCCCTGGATCCTTCTGGTGAAGAAAGTATCCACTGAGCATTCACCACACGTGAGGCTCTCTGTGTCAACCCTGGGAGGCCCTGCCCTGGAGAGGCAGCCAACGCACAAAAACAAAACGCTACCCAGAGGCACCGAAAGACAGCCAAACCGAAGGGCTTTATGACGAAGGAAGGGGAACACTTCCACCTGGGCTGGCGGGGAGGCTTTCACCGAGGAGAAGCTGGCCCTGGGGAATGGCAGGATTCGGACAGGCTTAGAGGGGGACAGAGAGCACCCAAAAGAGACAGGACGGTACACAGGAGGCAAAATACAAGAAGTGTTCTAAACACAGGATACAGAAAGGCCTTGGCCTGGCAGTCAGACTGCTCTGGGCTGCAAATATTAGTACTAACGCCTATGAAAGCCAGAAATGAGAGCTGAGGCAGGTGGGAGGCTGTAAGGAGTATGAGTGCAGCAAACAAGAGAAAACATGCCCCATAGAAAAGCACCAAAAAAACTAACCCCCCCAAAAAAAAACCCAAAACCCTCCATTCCCGACTACTGTAACCTTTTAGGAACAAATGTTCAGTGCTGCCAGATTTCCCAAGTTTTCAGAAAAGTTGAAAAGATGGATTTTTT